GTCTCATATATGTGGGAAGAGGAAGTAACACACACACACACACTCACACACACTCACACTCGAGCCTGTGGCCTGTAACAAACAACCTATCAGTTTGAATCCCTGGACCATGTGACAATCTGACAACGAAAACTCATTATAAGATTTTACGGTTGGAAGTTCGTGTGAGGAGACTTGCTCAACACATCCAGATGGTAATTAAATGGTACTCTGCCAACGACTGGCAACGTCACCTCACCTCTATAAATCACTTTGACTTAAAGTGACAGTTCATCCAAACCGCACCACGACACGTTTCATCATTTTCTAAACCATTTCCATCTTTATTTATCCACACAGTCGTTCTGTTATTTGTCTTTTTTTCATCATTTTCTAAACCATTTCCATCTTTATTTATCCACACAGTCGTTCTGTTATTTGTCTTTTTGGTAACGTTAGCTACGACAGTCCTGGTACAGACACCAGAGCTAACGTTAGCTACGACAGTCCTGGTACAGACACCAGAGCTAACGTTAGCTACGACAGTCCTGGTACAGACACCAGAGCTAACGTTAGCTACGACAGTCCTGGTACAGACACCAGAGCTAACGTTAACTACAGACACCAGAGCTAGCGTTAGCTACGACAGTAGCTGTTATTTGTACGTTTTCACTCACCTTGTCCAGAATCTTTTTCCAGTACTGTCTCCACAGAATGACGGCGATCACAGCCAATAGCAACAGGATGATGCCCACCAGGCAGCCAATCAGGATGGCCGTATTACTGCTGTCGTCTTTGGCCACGGGGAGACCGGCTCTGGGGGTCACTGACCCTGAAACGGGAATAAACATGAAAACCGTGTGTTTCTGTTCACCTCTGAACTTTCACATACACAGAACTGTGTAAAACCTCCAGGTATGTGTTTTTTTTACCCTCCTTCCTGAAGTTTTACTGCATTTTTTAATATTGTAAAAAGAGAAAGTTTTGAACAAAACTTCTGAAATTCTACATTTTATTTGAGTTTTTTTAGTTTCACACAGGACTGTGAACTGGATCCAAATAACCTGAAGTGAAGTGGGAAGTGCACCCCCCCGCCCCCCACAAACAGATACAAGTACACACACCTGTGTACTGTTACTGGGGTCGGACTGTGTTGAACTGAACCTCAAGTTTCGTGCGACAGATTGTGATCAACGTTCCTGGTTTAGCTCGTTAGCTACGTTCAGATCTAACGTCTCTGCTGTTTTATTGAACCCTGAACCAGGAGAAAATCAATGTATTGACCTGAGTTGGTCTGACTTTACTCTCAGACTCTGCTGACCTGCTGCAGCACAGACAAAACAACAGGAAGTTGACGAACAGCCCGAGAAAGAAACTGGTCTGTAGCTACAGACGGTAATGGGCTAAGTTTAATTTATCATCGCAGAAAAAATATAAAACGTCCAAATAAAATAAAATACACGAAAAAATGAAAAATCACTTCAGCCTGTCTGTGGCACTAATGAGCCTCAGGTTTATTTGCCAGCCATGAAGAAGATGGACAGGCTGCAGTTAGTGAGGTCAGGTGACCTGTGACGGGAGACGTGATTGGACTGCTCTGCTTGATCGATGGACACTGAAGCTAACGTTAGCTACTACAGACAGTTGAGCTAACGTTAGCTACGACAGACATTGAAGCTAACGTTAGCTACGACAGTCCTGGTTCAGACCAACAGTTGATCCAGATGACAGGGTTCAGAGACAAAACAGTCTTCAAATGTTTAAATATAACAGCTGTAATTGTACTGTGAGAGAGTAGTATTCTGTGAGAGAGTAGTATTCTGTGAGAGAGTAGTATTCTGTGAGAGAGTAGTATTCAGATGAAAACACACAGAGATGACCAGGTGAGAACACACACACACACACACCAGTTCCAGACAGGCCTCCTGGTCAAATGTATGGCTCTGGACGTTCTCTCACCCACAGGCTCATACATTACGCCCCCCGCCTCCGTCAGTTCAACACCATGCTGATGTGGGTAATAAACAAAACCAAACAAAGCTGTTCCACCACATCCAGAAACAAAGGCAGTGCAGCCACTGGCCACAGGGGCCGCTATTGTTCAGCTGTGAAACGCTGCCGTTTGTCGACCACAGGAAACCCAGTTGTTATTGGACATGAACATGACAAACCACGGCTGTTAGTGAGTTTCCTACAGCTCCACACCCCAGGGACACGGACCAGTGCCAAGGCCTGCCCCTGTACCTCCCCCCCCCTCCATTATAC